ATACTGTATGTACAGAGGTATTAGTGTTCTTATTTAAGTATTTGGTTTAAAAATCTAGCAGTATGCCAGGGAAGTTGGTGGGTTTTTCTCTCTCTATCAGTGAAGTTGTAGATACCAAAGTTGCTCTGAGATCTTCTCCAGTAGTAAGGTACTTTATCCATTAATTTCTTTGTTTCTCTTACACAAACGTGAAAACATTGAATTTAGTTTGGCATTGAATACATCTCTCAGGTGCTCTAATAACTTTTTATAAAAAGGAGTGGAAGCAGCGTCTTTACAGTATCTGAAACAAGTAAGACCCTTGTTTGCCATGAAGCAGTAGTATGTAGTGGGAGGAGAAGGAGATAAAAGATGCAGCAGCACAGGATTGTGTTCTGACATAGCCATTACTTTGTTCCATGACTGTGAGTAAATGTTTTTAGCACACTGTTTTCAGCTTGGGAAGTGTTTTCAGGTTTGCTCACAACAGTTGTTACTTTTAGAGCTGTGGTTTATTGTCCTTATTAATAGAAGATGTACTTGTCAATCCATGAAGTATTTCAACTGTCTTGTATAAGCTAAAAAAAAAATTGCTTAAGAAAAATAAGTTTTTAAATGTTTTGAATAGAAAAAAAAATCTAAGATGCAGGATTACAATGTGGTTTTCATTTGCAGTTGATTTTATTGAAAGGGTATTTGTGTTGTGGGTGAAGGTAGCTTTAGGAGTGCCTGTTTAAGTGTTGCTCTTGGAGCTCGTTAGTGCTGACCTAATTTTGATTTAGTTTTATTTCTCACCTGTAATAAAGGTTTATACTTAAAATTTGTAGGCTGTGCAGTAAGACTGTGCATTGAAGGTTCCGTAAGGTGGGTTTTTTGTTTGTTTTTGTTGTTGTCTTGTTTTTTGTTGTTGGTTTTGGGTTTTTAATAAAAAAAGTTTGTCTGCTTTGTAATTTCACTTTAGCTTTTAAAAAGCTTTTAGCTTTTAAGTCCTCAGAAATATTCCTGACTCTGCTTTGTTAGAAAGTAGAGGATAGATGTACAAACCTGAGCCTCTTGCTGTCCTGCAGCATTTAGTGATATTTCGTACAGTGGGGCTTGAAAGTACGTAGAAGAGGTTGATGTCAGATAGTTTTTAACACCCACTTACCATTAGCTCTTTAAAAATAACTGGATATACGATGGATCCATTTGAGAGAAAGTGCAGGTCTTCACCCTCAAGAAATGTCAGCTCCTTCTACCTACTTTAGTTATGTGCTACCACACTTGCCTCCCTGTTGTCTGCTGCCACCAGGTGCGATTCCCTCCCCCAAAGTAAATGAGCCTACTAAGAAAAAAAAAAAAAAAAACCACACTTTCCTAGATAATAAAACTTTTTGTTTCAAAATTCAGCTAGAAGAGTAGAAAGCATCTCCCTAGGGTAAAGGAGTTGTTTGGTTCACGTTATTTCTACTGTTATCGTATCTTGGTGTTTAACAATTACATAACAATTTATTTATCCTGACACCATGCCTTCTGGCTGCCTCCTGAGGAAATAGGAGTATCATTTTGCAAACACTGACATGTGAAGAACATAAATTAAACCCGTCTGTCTCTATAGGAATGTTTATTACCCTACATCCAGAATTTAAAGGTATATAGGTTTGTACTAGCTGCAACCCCCAACGGTGAGCTCCAGAAAAAGTCAGTAGAGAGATCATTAGTAGGGAGAGCATCAGGTTAATCCTCCAGTCCGCAGCTCTTCTCTGATCCCGCAGTGCCCTGCTGACGACGAGTCACAAGGCGCTCTGCTGTTGGTCTGTGCTGATCTCTGGTCTTCTACGGCTCAGTGGAGGTTTGATTTGCAGTAGGATTGCCAGTCTCTTTCCCTCTTCCTTCCTCCAAGTTTTGCCTTGGCATTAACCTTCTATTCGTGGTTACTCAGTTCGAGATAACAGAAGAATAACTTCTTTTGTAGTGCTAATTTTCTGTTGATTTAGGTGCCTGGAGTCACTCACCCCCTAGCCTCGAGTAAGTACCAGTGTTGATACAAAGGAAAATCCACTGTTCTGCCCTGAGAAGGAGAGGGTTTAAACTGGATCAGCAAGCTAATCTGACTCATTCCTAGCCACATAGGCACTTGTGTGTTGGTACAATGGAGGGAAAGAGCTGAATTACATTTAGAGATGAACAGTCTGTTTTTATTAGCAGCCCAGTTAAACCTGCTTGAGCCAAACTGAAATCACACCCTCAGGCTGTGCAGTTCATGGCCAACCTTTGCTGCCCCAGCGGTCTTCTAAACTCTTACTTTGGAAATTGGCTCGTTCCAGGTCATGATGCCTCTTTCTCAATGGTCTGTGTGTGCCTTGGTGTGCTTTCCAGAAACACACTCGTGCAGAGAACAGAGTTAATTTGTGCTTTTGCTTGTGCTGACGCCTTGCGGGGGGCGAGCTGCGGGAGCAGGAGTGCTGGGCTGGCTCCAGCAATCTGCCAGTGCCTGTTTGCCTTCCCCAGAAGAAGCTTTTAAAGAGCCTGAGGATTCACCCAGGGTTGTGAAAGAGATGGGTCAGAGGTGGAGGCTACAAGTGATCTGAACAACGTAGCTCAGAGTTACCCTAGATATGCTTGCAGAGGGTAGTTATTCTCTCTGTCTGTCCAGAAGATCTGCCTCCTTTTGAGAGAAGAGTAGTAATTTTGGTCTCCCGTCAAATGTGTAACCTAAGGGCAATTCACAGTATGTGTGTGTAGCAGCAGGGAGGGCAAAGTCCAGGGAGAGACAGGTTATTTCTTCTTCGGGACTGAGAGTGAGAAATCAAGAGCTGGAGGTGATATGGGAATAATTCCTTTGTGTGTGCCTGCTTGAAACAGTGTCAAAAAAACCTTTGAGAGTGGATCGGTCTGTTTAATAACTGTGACAAACCCTGTGTGGTGATGTGGAGCTGCTGAGGAAGGTCCTGCTGGGTTTGTTTCCAGTGGATGTTGGTCCCTGGGGGCTTGGTGGTGTGAGCGCTGCTTTGCTGATCACCCTCTGGAAAGCAGATGTGCTTTGGGACAGAGCCGTGGATCTGTTCCCAGCTTGACTCCAGAAGGTGGTCTGTTTTGTAGCAGGGTTTCAAGTCCGCCTGGTGAAGGGTTTTGTGGATGTTTGAGAGGATGTGGAAGGTCTCCCTTGTGCTAGAAGTGATACTGAGACCCAGGCAGCAGCCTGGAAAAAGGTGATATGGAGGGATGGGGAGGTTGGAAAATCAACAAGCAGGGAACAAGGACAGCATGTGTGCTTGTGTGGAACCCACAGGACACGTAAGAGAGGGGACTGCCAGGATGGCCTGGAGGGCACTGGGGCCTGGGGAGCAACACAGGTCCTGTGAGCAGTCCAGGGCAGCAGCTCTGGGGTGCAGGAGGTGGTGGGAGGAGAGGCTTGAGGAAGCAAGGGAACTTAGCTGGGGAGCTGAGGTGTGTCCTTGTGCTCACTCTGCTGTCACTTCAAATTCAAGAACACATGCTGAGCACCATCTCCTCTCCAGGGATCCAAGGCATCCATTTCCACCATTCAGTTGGGCTTGTTGGGATTTCCATCCTCTCAGTTTCAAGAAATGTGTGGAGGCGCTTCTGCTGTAGCTGTGAGGAACATCTGTTTTCAGATATAACTGTGTCTTAAATCCATATTGCAAAAGAGATCTTCTGCTTAGATGGGTCCATGTTCAGGATTCTTCTCAGCACTGTTCATCCCCTCAGGCTCCACCTTGCTTCATAGTCCGGGGAATTTGCTTGTGAAGCATAGGCTGTTGCTCTTGTGTACATTTTGTTTGTTTGTTTGTTTGGGTTTTTTTTCTATTTTTATGTAGATGACCACATGAGTATTTATAAATGAATAATATGGATGTCTTTTAGACCTCTTCTTTTTGTAAAAGAAAAGCTCACTTTTGCTGAATGCTAGCAAAGAATGGCCACTCCAATAGTGAATTCCAGGTGTAGTAAAAACCTGCTTCCTTAGGGTTGTTAATACTACTTTTTAAGTCCAGATGTAAATTAGAGGCTAATTTTTGATTAAAAGTCTATATTACTGACTTTGCTATATTGCCTTGTTATATTTTATAGTGAAGAGATCATGCAGTGTGTGAAGATACTCAGTTATTTTGTCCATTAAAGCCTAACCCTGTGAATTAATGTTTCATATTTTCTGTGCATCTTAACAAATCAGTTTCTTTTTTCAAGATTCGCTCATAAGAGAAATTTCATGTGTGTTGCTACAAATGTAAATTGTTGACCAAAATGTTTTTCGCAAGAATATCTTGGGGTCTCTGGGTTTGAGTTTCGTTTTGTTTAATTAGTGTGTGTGAAGTCAGGGAAGTCAAGTGAGGCAGTGAGCACGCTGGTGTTCACCTCAAGCAGCAAATAATATTTTCCAGTTTCAGTGGGTATCCTGTCTCTGTATGAACTGAATAGCTGTGTAAATAATAATGTTTGCACAAAGGTAATAGGTACCAAATGTTTACATTTGCTGCATATTTTAAATGTGAATTGCTGGCACAGGTTAAGACTTCCTTCTGCAAAGGGCAATAAATAAAACTTTGTTTAGTAGAGCAAAGTCAATAAATGCAATGATTACTACTTTATTTAGTCTTTTTATGAAGTGTTCAGGAATATTTGTTACTCAGGCTGAAACATGTTCTCCGTGGAGACAGATAAACAAATATAGGTACATTTATGTTTCATTTTGTTTTTTTTTTTTTACCCCCTAATGGTATAACCAGTGCACACTGAAAGCCACTGGGGAATTAGAATTTGTCAGGGAGGCAAGTACCATGAGCTACTGAGTTTAACTAATGCTCTTCCAGCCACTCTGACTGCACAAAACTTGAGTCTGAGCTGTGGTTATGTTACAATTGGCTTTGCTTAACTTGGATGTGGTGGGTCTGCACTCTCTGAGGTGATACAGTGCAGTATCAGATGAGCAAGAGGCTTTATTTATTACATAATACAAGTGAAAGAATGGAGGATATGTTTTATAATTGCCATATTTAATGGGGATTTTCCATTTTTAGATTTCATGCAGTTGCCTGTGACAGCTCCTGTTGAGTAAACTGAGACGGGAACATCTTGTATCGCCTGTTGTACCTGTACCTGCCACCATGAGAAGTTGCATAAGGTTTCTTTTTATTGTTAATTCATGCTTTTATTGTAGTGTAATTGTTATAAGCAGGTTAATTAGTAAACACATTCCTTTAAGGATTTTTTTTTCCCCTCATCTAACAATAGTTTGCTTCTAAAACTAAAGGGTATAACAGTATTAGTATAAGTAGTATATGGGCCAAATCACTGCTTATGAATTAAGCAGGATCAGTCCTAAAAAGAGCTGGTTTACTTCTCATTCATGACTGTGCTGATTGCTGTTTCTCTTTGCTCTTGAAAAAAGTGCGTAAATTTTTAACTTACAGTCTTGGTCTTTCCCCTTTGGTGACAACTTCATGAAACAGAGTTCCACAGCTATTGTGGAATCATTTGCTTGCACAGGTTTTCTATAGGTTGTATTCTTGCATAAATTAGCAGCTCTTCCCTCCAGTATTTAACCTCCCAACATTTCCTGCATCACTACTTGGAGTCTGAGCACTGATTCCTCAAACACCCCAGCAGGATTATGTGAAACCAGGATGGATGCACGTTCTGTGAGCACCTGAGTGTTTACAGCTCATCTGCAGGCTGAACCACTTAGTTAGAATATTACCACATCAGATATTTTTATTTGTCAGTGATTAAGTTGGACAAATCACTAAGAACAGAACTCATGCATTGTAAAGGCAGTGGACTTTCTCACTGTGTCGTAGTCCAACACTCTCAAAAACTGCTTAGGCTCATGTCCCTTCTGCTTTTCATCCCCTGCCCCAAAATGCTGAGTTTACTTACCCTCTTTTTATGGTCAAAAGCAGCCACGTACTTCTAAAATCAGTAAGGTGGCAACAAGTTGTACTTAAATGAAATTGTGAAGTCCTGTGTAGTATTTCACTAAACCTTCCAGACTTTTTGTTGTTATTGTTGTTGTTTGGTGGTACTTTCTTTAAAGGCAGAATATTAAACAGCAGACAGTGCCTCTCTTTTAAGCTTTTCAAATCTGATAAAACCTTGAAAATTTACTAAAACCTAATTTCCCTATTACTTCTGCAAATCGATTATGAATAATGTATTTTCATTTTGAGTTTTTAGAATACCATACAGTAAAGGTTTGAAATAGAAGTTGTTACAAGTGTCTGCTTGCGCATATTTCTCTGTATCTTAATGAAAATAATGTTTTCCTTTTACATTGCCATTAAAAATGGGGGTGGTGTTTTAAGATTAAATGACCTTTTATTTAAAAAAAAAAAAAACAAAACAGACAGAAACCAACAGAAAGTGTACTGTCTTGTTAAGCTGCATTGGTTTTACTTGAGTAAAATATAATTGTCTTACAGCTAGAACTCCAGTCTCATGTTAGGGTAGAGTTTTGCTTCTACATTGTCATCAAAATGAATTTTTTATTATGTGCTTAGTGATCCATTTAGCTGACTTCAGCTTCTGCTGCTGAGCATGGCAATGATAAATCTGTTGGGGATGAAGGCATTTTAAACTGTTTTCCTTTGCTTACCTGGTATTTTTCTCTTTAACAACATATCAAACAAAGAAACAAAATGATGAATTAAAATGCATCTTCTGTTCTTCAGTTCACAAGGAAAGAGGTGGAGCCTTTTCATTGCCACCAAGGAACTTCCTTTGTGTCATGGCTCAGCTCTTCTTAGAACAATCACCCTACAAAGATGCTGGAGCTTATCCACCTGATGAGACTATTATATTTTTCTTGCTTGTTCAGAAAGGGAACGCGCTTTTCCAACTCCCAATTATGATGCTAATTACAATTGGTTACAAGCATAGATACTCTGTAAATATTGTAGTCTGAAATCCATTGCCAAATTGTCAACTCTGGCACAGGAGTGCTCTCTTGCTAAGTTTGCTATCTCCTAATTATAAGACTTTAAAGGAAGAAAAATGGAGTCCTGTATGGCCTTTAAGGCAAGAAACTTCATGTGCAAAAGATAGTTTTTAATCTTAAAAAACCCTGCATTTTAAATGAAAAAACTTTTGTGAGTGTTAATTTTTAAAAGAAATCGATTGCAATAAATGACTTGTAATAGCCTCACTTTTCTGAAAGAGGAGGTGAAATAATTAGCAGTTTATTTAGGGTAAGAGATGTACATCAGAGCAGAGTTCTGGAGCTGGATGCTTACTTTGCTGAGCCAGGGTGACATTTCAAACCATTTCCCTCAACTCTGTCCTGTTGAATTCCTTAGACCCTTTCTTGCAATGCAGCCCTTTAATGAAATGGTGGACCGAGCACAATTTATGTTTGCAATTCAAAGCCAGCATTTCCAGGTTTGGGGGTTGTGTGCAAGGCCTCAGGTAAGCCAGAAGAGAGGGCTTGATGTGAGACCTTGATGTGGTTATTTTAGAAATGGTGGGAAAGGTTCCTCTCTCCTTCCGAGGCAGGAATAAGGGTGTTAGGATAACTGCAAAATCAAGTGGCAGGTTGCTATTCCAGAAGGGTTCGGTGCCTCTCTAATCAAGGAAAGGTATGAAACTTAGAATATTTTTAGACAGGCTTGACTGTTTGTCAGACAAGGAATTTTTTTGGAGAGAAGTTTTCCTAAAGGTATTAAATGCGTTGTTTTAGGGTTTTGTTTATAATGGTGTTTGATTGATTTCTGTTTCTACTTTGTAGGCAGAGAGTTCTCCAGCTTTATAAAGAGAAAAAAGATGTGCCCCTCCTGAACTGGGCCAGACAAAATTATAGGGCAACATACAGTTTTTTGAAAAATGGGTAAACTTTTGCTATGTGAACTTTAGATTAGCTTTAAAGCATCTTGTTCTATGATGCTATCAACAACAACACAATTTTTCTGGGCAGCAGTAGCTTATTGGCTGGCTCATGATTATTTTCCTTAAGTATCCTTCAGTGACCGACTAAGAACATAAGTCTCTTCAAATGATTACTGAGTTTGCCCTTTAGCCTATTTAAGTTTGGTGTTTTTTTATTTGTCATTGCTTTTTGCCTTTGATCTGAAAATTAAAATATATACACTTCCTTTTTTTTTTTTTTTTTTTTTTTTTTTTTTTTTTTTTTTTTTTTTTTTTTTTTTTTTTTTTTTTTTTTTTTTTTTTTTTTTTTTTTTTTTTTTAGATTTTTAAATCTCTTTTTCTCCCCTGCTGCTTGTTGCAGTAAGTCCCTACGGTGAAGAGCTCCTGTTGGTTGGGGGTGCATCTGTGGGTGCTCTGCAGGCTTTGATTTTGCTTGGTTCATTCAAACTGCCTGTAATGATGCAATGTGAACGATGAGGTTACAGCAGCTTGTTAGGGAAGAAGCTGGTGAAATATTTTTGCTTGGAGTTTTAAGAAGTTGTATGTTTTAGGGAAAGGTGAAATTAATCTCATCCTACAAAGGAAGGGTGTTGAGTTGATCTGTTCCCAAAGGGAGCTACAGATCTAAAATTAATGAAGCAAGGTTTCTTTTCATTACTACTGAAGGATCTTACATGACTTAAACATTACTTTTCCGACTCAAATTTCTTTTCATTATGGTTTTTGGAGAGTTAGTGGACAAAGATTTAGTGAGCGTAAGACATCAGCAAAGAATAATGCATCTTAGAAATGAAAATTTACTTAATTTAGTGTTGTCAAAAGCTGTACATCTTATGTATATATCATTATTAGTTGCTTGATTTGTGGTAATAAGTTATATCCATACCCTTGAAAAGTTACCTGAGTGAAATGCATTTGTAGTTCATTTTATGTACAAAACAGTGATTTTAGTAACTGGTGTCTCATTCACTGTTGCATAAATTCATCCTCAGCCATTATGGCGAGTGTCTTGGTTTTCCATAAGATTTTAAATTGTTCTGTTGATTTGAGGTTTTTTGTTTTAATCTTTTAGATAGATGGCATCATTTCTTGACTCAACAATAGAGTACATTAGAAAGTAGTATCATCATTGTGATCATTGGATATGGCAAATGATGCTTTAAAAAAGTCAAAGTGAACATCCTGGCATCATTTAGGACCCTGTGAAAAGTTACACTTTTCTTCATAGTGCTGTTGTTGGGAATTTGGGGGTATTTCTAAGCTATTTACCGGTATTTACCAAACATAAGTTAACTCATCGTCATGTTTATTGATGTAACAGGTGTGCCCATTGTCTATTGGTTCTGAGACTGAAGTCATGGGACCGATGGGAAGTCTCTAGGAATAAAAGAACCATCGAAGTTGTGTCACATACAGGGCCTTCCTTCTCTTATGTGGGTGTCCCAGTGTGTCTAATGCTTCAAAAGCATTTCAGCATCCTCAGTGGTTGGTGTTCCCGCATACAGAGAGCAGTGGCATTGCTCATGTTGTTTGAAGGCTGATGTACAGTCACATAAAGATTGCTAATGAAAATACACATGTAGGTATGCTGATGTGCTTGGAGGGAGTCTTTTAAGCTATACGATCACGTAACATTTTCAGGGAAATGCATCTCATTCGCGTATCATTCTACTACAATCTGCTAAATGGGAATGGAAGAGTTTTTCCTCATGTATCAGTGTCTTGTTTCATTTGTATTAGGGATTAAGATTTGTAGCATAATTTCTGCATAACAAGACCTACTGGAATATGGATTGTACTATTACGTTTGAAAACCCCCTACCAACTTACCACTAACCTTTTCTTTTCTCTTTTCAGATCTCTTTGGATCCCTGTGTAGTTGATTCATGTTTCCAAACTCTTTCTCGGAACCTTCACAAGCAGCCAAAATGAAGTTGAAGCATAACATCAACCCTGTTCTTTTACAGCTGATAAACTTTGTAATTTTGGTGTACACCCTTGTGACATACATTCCATGGTACATACTTTCGGGATCAAAGCAGGCTATTGAAAAAGCCAAGCAGGTTAAAGCCAGACCTGTGAATAACAAGGCCGGGGGTGCTTACAGATCTGTTAACAGCCTACACTGCTTAGCTTCAGTTTTATACCCTGGGTGTGATACACTTGACAAAGTTTTTAAATATGCAAAGACTAAATATAAGGACAAAAAACTCTTGGGAACACGTGAAATCCTCAAAGAGGAAGATGAAATCCAGCCATCGGGAAAAGTTTTTAAAAAGGTGAGTCTTTCTGCGGTCTGCCTTTAAGAATTTTTTTTTCAGAATGTTTACTTTCTTGTGCAGCACTTCTAGTCCACTAAAGCAAAGCTGGCTAAAATAATAAGTTTCTCTACTGAGATTAAATAGTTTTGAAAAGACTTAAATTATCTAATTCCTGATCTTTCATTACTTGACGTTTGAAACAAATCTAAACCTTCTTTTTGCATTCTTGAGTAGATATCTTTTTTTTATGGTTTTAGCCAAAGAAAAAGCACAAATATGTTTTATTTGTTTGTTTTTAATATTCAGCTGATGATGTAAGCAGCTTCAAAGGTTGCTTTTTAGGCAAATTAAGAAAAGTCTCTTTTTGTATTATTCTGAACTATAATCAGATAAATATTGAAAAATTACTAGATGCCTATGCTCAGATGTGCCATTCCAGTAAAACTCAGTTATAACTTACAGATTTGCTGTTCTGCCCTGTGAATTCAGGACTTAAATGACGTTTTTGTTTGGAAAAGGATTGCACAGATTTTATTGGAACAGTCTTTTTTTGTCTTTTTGTTTTGTCTCCTTTAAGATGAACTATTTCTCTACTAATATGTAATCCAGGGGGGTGTGTGTGTGAGATGTGATTGCGGTATGAACTCTGTTTCAAGGGACAGAATTTTTTATAGAATTTTTTATAATGTTCAAGCCTATATTGTCATTTGCTGCTTTGTATTTGTTCAGAGGCATTTAAAAATCCGCTTTTGCCTGAAGAAGAGAGGCTGTAACAGGATACGTGTTTCTGTGCATCTGTGTGTAGTGTATTAAAGGTCTACATTTCTGTATTAGAAGTTGTTAAAATCCATGATATAAAGATAATTTTTAGCTAAGATTAGTTTCCCAGCAGATGAAAAAAATTATCTCTTCATATAATAAAAATTAATATTCCTTAAATAAAATAAAGATAAAATAAAATCCCTTAAATACCACTAGTTTTAATTCTGATGGAGAATTACGTTTACAGTAGAGTTTGATTAATATAAGAATATATGGCAAAGTTCAGTTCTGTTAAATCTTTATAGAAGCCTAAATTGTTAGTGAAACTTTCTCTCAGCTATGGAGTTAGTTTTTTTTAGTATGAAGGAAATGCTGGGATGAATGGTTACACGTAATCTTTCTTGATGCACATTTTGCTGCCTCATTACCCTATAAAGAAGCAGAAAGTTCATGTTGTACAGAGTTGTACAAAGAAAGGCTTCTGAGCACAAATCAGAATTTTGGCTGCCTGTGGTATGTGCCCTGTTTTTCAATTGCAGTTGGTAATGTAAGACTTAAGAATTTAGGAGTTTTAGCCTTTTCCATTATGCAAGCAAAGTGTTCTCAGTATTGGAAAGCTGAAGAATGTTTGTGTTGATCTACTTAAATCAATTGTTTCTAAGTATGTAGACTTAGAAATTACCCAAGTTAGGTAATTTTTGTCTAAGCTTGACACAACAGTTCATTGTGGTCGATTGCCACACTTGCCCTCGTGTTAGTTTGTTCCAAACTGTGGCATTATCGCACAAATCTGCTTTTAATTTTTTTTTTCCATTAAGGAATACAGTGTTCCTTAATACCACATAGCATATTTTAGCAAGAGAGGAGAATCGGACCATTTCACACGATACCTTGTGGGTTCTAAATGTCAGGGTTCTTTTCCTTTGGTTTCTGTCTTTCATACCCCGCACCATTTTATTGCCTGGATTCCTTTAGCAAAGGCAACTTGCTGAGATTTGCTCGGTGCAGCTCTTCAAGAAAGTGCATGACAAGTTTAATTCTTACGTATAATGCATATAATTTCTATACTTTACAGAAGCTGCAAAATTTTTAATTGCTGTTTCCTTTCCACAATTGAACACAGTGATTGGAGTGATTGATGCATTTTTCTGAGGTCATCTGCAAGTCAGGAGTAGATCTGAATGCATGTTATGGGTCTGGCTGAGTTGCAGTACCTATTAGATGTGCCCCTCTGCAAACTGTAGTGGGATGCATTTGCCTAGTTCATGATTCATTAATGGGATAAATATATATCTCAAAAAAGTAAAATATTTAACTTGTGATTCTTGAGAGAGTTAAGTGTGCTCACACTTATAGCTGAAATTATTTAAAGCTTATTAACATCTTTAAGATCCGATATGGCATTAATTTATTTCGAGATATCCCAGATAGTGTGTAATTTCTTTAATTTTTGTGATGTTTTATTGTTACAAAAATATTTATTCCTTTGCAGTTGCCGAAGTAGCAGAAACTCATGGGTGTGAATAAAATATACTTTTTCAGGCTCACTTTGTTGCATTTTGTAATATTTCATATGTAGTTAGTTCTTCTGTTTCCTTCCGTAGTCAGCTTCTCCAGTTTTCCTCTCCAATCTCATCATTGGAGAGCATACCTAATATTAATTTCATAAAATACGTATTTATGTCAGCATAAAAATACCTCCAAGTTTAAGACATAATTAATTGAAAAAAATAATTAATTCAAGCAGAGCTTAAATTTTATGATGCCCAAAAGATGGGCTTTATTCTGCTGGCTGCTGGTTTTATGTCATCTTAGTTATATCGTCAGGTGCTTACTTTTATCTGTGTTGGTATGTGAATTTTGCTCTGTGTGTTTGTGTTCTTTTGGTGGTTTATTTTTTGAGGGGGATGTTTGTTTGTTTTGGAGATTGGTTGTTTGTCTCGTTCTGTTTTAAAAAGGGGTTTGTAACCAAGAACAGAGTTAGTGGAAACATAATAAATAAGACATAGTGAGGAAAAGAAAACACAGTTTTGAGAGGGGAAGGTGATGCATCTGAAACCTGAGAGATTCAGGTGAAACAGCAAGCACGTGGGAAAGTACTTCAGAATTCAGAACTCATTATTGTTGATACCCAAACTTATTGTCAAAGTACAGGAAGGTTCTTGCCATGCCAAGTCACTGAGCAGTAAAAGAGTAGTTTACGATGTTGGAAACCATAGGGTGCCATGTAAATAATATTTTAGAGTGGGGTTTTTTTCCAGAAGTGTTCAGCTGCAATCCATGTTTTCATTTCAAAAAGGCCAAAAGTAGACCTTTCAGATAATCTTGTTCGTATTATTTATAATATGCTTTCTACAGGAAAATGTATTTAATTAATGATTACTTGCTTCCAAGTAGTAGTCAAGGTTCTTTAAGCCTTATTAGGTACATTTAGGAAGACCTTCAAAGGTAACTGAGGTCAGGTAGTTTAAAGGCTGTGTTTGTGCCAGCAGCTTTATGGAGAATATTTTATGACACCTTCACAGTAAAAATTTCAATACCTCCCTAAAATCCAGGTAAAAGAAATGTTAACTGCGTGTTTAGTGTCTATGCTTTTCTGGACTTCCAAATAATAATGTGGTCCTGATAGTTCCTACTATTTTACGGTGCATTCCATCGGTAACTCATCCTGCAGTTTAGAATCTGGAGCACTAGAGGGCACCGGTTTGCTTTGGAATGTCGTGTTTCCAGGGAAAGCCCCAGCGCTGCGTTCTCTGCTGGGCACTGCTGAGGTGTGTGGGGTTGTTCAGTGAATCCCCGCTTCTTTGGGGATTCAGTAATCCCCACTTCCTGGGCCCTTTTGCCAACTCTTAGACAGTTGCTTTTTTTCCATGTGTAAATAGTTACCAAGCAAAAGCAAGTTCTGAAGGTTGTAGAGTTAAACGTGTGTGAGTGTTTAAAGGATTGTGGCACTTAATGTCAGCCTTAACAGCTATTTACAGCAGAAACCAAAGCACAGAATTGTTAGGGATGGAAGGGATCTCTGGGCATCCTCTATTCCACCCCCCCCGCCAAGGCAGGGTCACCTGGAGCAGGTGACACAGGAACAGCCCCAGATGGGTTTGGAATGTCTTGGGAGAGGGAGACTCCATGACCTCCCCGGGCAGCCTGTTCCAGTGCTCTGTTACCCTCAGTCTAAGGAAGTTCTTCCTCATGTTGAGGTGGAACTTGTTGTGTTTTATTTTATAGCTAGCGCTCCTCATCCTGTTACTGGGCACCACTGAAAAGAGTCTGGCACCATCCTTTTGGCACCTGCCATTGAGATGTTTCTGTGCATTAATGAGATCCCCCTCAGTCTTTTCTCTGGACTGAACAGGCCCAGCTCTGAGTCTCTCCTTATAAGAGATGTGTTTCAGACCCCAGATCATCTTTGTGGCCTCCACTGGACCCTCTCCAGTAGCTTCTTGTCTTCCCTGGACTGTGCGCTGGAAAATATTAGTGAAAGCTACTGCAGGAAAGGCCAAGAAGGGAGATGGATTTGGAGACAAAAAAAAATTAAGGAAGGTTGAGAGAGACCAAAACCTGCTCTGTGTCCTGCAAAAGAAGTGTAGAGCAAAATGCAGAGGAAAGGGACGTACAGAGGCAGTATGTTAATATTTATAGATGTATATATGAATATATATTATTATTTAATAAGATGTATATAGTATAAATAATGTAGGGAGGGAATAGAGAAAAAAGGCTGGGCATGGGGAGGAAAGGAACATTGGAATTTAAATATATGGAAGGCAGTAGGAAAGTAAAACTCAAAATAGCTGCATTGAAAATAGTCTTACCTGTTTTCATTTGTCAGCGATCTTCAGAAATGTATTTGTGTATATATATATATATATATATATAAATAACTATACCTAACAGTGCTATACATCCTTCCTGTGGATTTTTCCTTTTTAAGAAAACAAGGCACCAATAAGGCCTTCTTTCACTGCTTCATATCAAACTTGTTTAAGTAAGGAGGATGAACTTTGTAAGAGAATTAAAAAAGGGAAAAACCCAGAATCTTAAGTCTTACTTGGAAAGATTCATTTTGGCCCTTTAATGATTTTTTTTCCCCGACTTTAATGAGTTACGTAGTGAATGGTGGAAATTACTAAAACCTTTTATGGGTTGACAAACTTACCAGAAACAGTAATAAGAATCTACTTATATTTCCTGGCCTAATTATTTGTGTACAGTTTTCCTGAGGCCACGCTGTAGGCAGAATATAATGGGGGCAAGGGTGTTACCCAGTTCACTGCTATAAATTGTTTTCGACTGATGAGCTTGTCAAGAATTTCCAAGTGTGCCAAAAATACTGCCTTTGGGGAAAAATGTCCCAAATTAGAATTTAAATTTCCAAATTACTGAACTCTGGATGGACGGGAAGACGTGCAATATTTTTGTTGGAAGCAATAGGAGTTTTCCACACCAGGCATATCTTGGTGTGTTGAAAGGGACTCCAAAATCCCCCTCTTGTTGGGGGGCTGTGGCAGTGAGCACCAGCCAGGGGTGAGCCCCTGCCCCTTGGGGTTCTCTCACTGCTTACAGTGGAGATTTCCAACCTGGTCTTTCTGCTCCAGTAAGGTTTTTGGCTCTGAAACAGCCTGTTTGCCAGTGCAACTGAGTTTCTGTAACTAAACCAGGAAAATCTGAGAAGATTGTTGTGCGAGAAATATGTATTTTCTGGCAAAATTGCTATATATTGCAAATATTGGTTTTTGAGTTCATTAGACAGTGTTTTCCCATGAAAACATTTGTGAATTTCTGAGCAGCTGCACGTGTACCAGTCCTTAGTAAAGAAAGGTTTGTCCTGGAGAACAAGTAGGTTAATGAGCAATATGCAGTGAGACTGATAGGTACAATTCAGTTACCTAATTGTAACTTCAGCACTTTGGAAAAGTGTTTAGATAAAAGCAATCTACTAAATTTTATTTTTTATTAGAAGTTGAGAGAGGTTTTTAAATATATTTTATTAAGGAAGTGGATGTGGAAATACATACTCATTAGAAATATAATTACATGCCAAAATGTCGTTAGATTTGGCAGCCTACAAGATTGAAATTTAGATCAAGTTGATGGAAAAAAAGAATGGGGAAGGAGGTAGAAGTTTTGCTTTTCTAGCTTTTTTTAGCATTTGCTTGCATTTATTACTAATATTTTGTAGTTAAAGAATATTTCTGAAATACTTGACTAAAAAATTGTATTTCTCAAAATTGTCAGTGTGCTTGTATAACTAGATGGTTAAGGTATAATGATTTAGAGTCTGGATTTTCAATGTAAAACATCTTCCTACTAGATCTAGATATGAAAATATTTAGAATATCCTCAAAGAAATATTCTGTCACTCAGTAAGGAAACTAGTACTGCAAGCTGCAAGTGCACATGTAGAAATCTGTGATATGACCTGTAAATTTAAATCCAGTTTTACTGTGCACCAGCTTTCCCGTATAGAAGAAAAGTGAGATTGCTTAATATTTTCCACATGGCTTCTCAGAACTGAGGTTTGTCAGTAATTTCCAGTCTGGTCTTCAGTCCCACTTTTGTTTAACAGTAAAATAAGGGCAAAATTATTGCTACTCTTCCCCTTGACATTTGTTTCAGAGTGAAGGGAAAAGGGACTTCACAATTTCTGACTGAGGATTTGTGGATATGCTGCTTTCTGGATTCCAGTTTACCTTTTCTTAATTAATGCCTAAGCCATCGTATTCATGAATTGTATCAGCCTAGTGCTTGTCACCCTTTACATAAAACAAACCTTTTTTAAAAAGTAAAGGCATGTGGGCCAGATAACCACATGCAGCCTTCCAGAGGGCTTCTGAAGTGCTGTGGGCATCGTGTGCTTCCCTCACGTGAAAACAGAAACTGAGGTGGTAACGTGTGTGGAGATATTGCAGTATTTGTGTTGGAAATTCCACAGGCCCTTTAGCTTTTGGCCAGAATATTATTCATTATCTCGAGTAAAGTGCTGTTATAATTCAAGTGCATGTTACTTCAGACATCTGTGGTCTCTTCACGTGGGTGAAGATGTAGTAGGACATGTGTTAAGGATTTTCGCTTTCTAAAATGAACTTATTATTCTTATTAGGTCATCCTTGGCAAGTACACCTGGCTTTCTTATGAAGATGTATACATTAAAGCTGTTAATTTTGGAAATGGCTTAGCAGTGTTGGGTCAGCAACCAAAGACTAACATCGCTATCTTCTGTGAGACCAGAGCTGAGTGGATGATTGCAGCACAGGCCTGCTTTATGTGCAACTACCAGCGTAAGTGTGTGTCTTCCCTGAAGGTTTGATCTTACTTCACAGTCTGAAAATAAAACCTTTTCTTTTCTTTACATACTAAGAAAACTTGATGTGTATTTTATATATAACATTAAAATTTATGAATTAAAAAAATGCTGCATAAGGTAGAAACCATGCACTTTATAGCATTTTGTGTTAGCGAATAGAGAAACCTGCATGTTTGCAGATGGAGTATGATTTTGAGTTTGCTCAATGAATTCATGGGAGGTTTATCTTCTTTCAATCTCAAATCAGTACAGATTCCCAAGTTTCTAAAAACAAACAAACAAACAGAAATCACACATGAATTCATTAACTCAGTTTCAGGAGCTGACGTCAAACCTTTTCATCTGTGCCTGTAAGTTTTGCTTTAACCGGATTTTTTGTCAGTTCTTCAGTTTTGATTTTGGTTAGGCCTGATTCTCTTGCCAAGAAATGTATTGACTAATCTCAACTTGCTCTAGTTGTTTAAATGCCTGTTTCATCGTTGCTCGTAGTATGTCATTCACCTCTCTGTAAGCGCAGCCTGGCTGGGTTCTGTGATGTTCTCAGAGGTGCATATCTCCTTGTACCACAGGGCACGCTGGAAACTGCTGTTCCTCACAGGCTTTGGCCTCTTCATTTCTGTGTTGACCCTCCTTCAATAGGAGATGGGCTGTAAAAGCCACATGTGCAGAAATTCTTCATTTGCTACCTATGTACACCAAAGATGTCAGATGGACTTTTTTCATGTTTTCAAAGCAAACCTAACAAGATTATTGTATCTTCAGTGGCCTCTCTTTGCTCTGAGCACGAATCTGTTTCAGTTTGAGAAATCATGTGTTGTTGAGTGTATAGCAGTTTTCACTTATTTGCAGTCTTTACTGCGTCTCTCGGGTTATTTTGTGTACCCTTTGCTGTGTTGTTCCCTTAGTTTGAAGGGTGGAGTTGATGACAAGGTGCAGTGCCCCAGCACATTTCAGAGTCAGCATGCTTGCCTTATATGACACCTGGCTCTGCAGACAGGGAGGGAGTGGATGTCCTGTATTGTGACTTCACCAGTGCCTTTGGCAATGGGCTCCTGTAATACCTGTACAGCCAAACTGTTCAGATTAGACCTGGATAAGTAGGGCAGAGTTACTTGCCAGCCCTCAGGGGTTGATGTTGACTCCAGTACTGTTTAATTTCTTTAGTGAAGACCTGGATGATGGGATAGAAAAACCGTGTTGTGTGGAACCTCACAGAGTTCGGTGAAGGCACTTAAAATTTCCTCTGTGTGTGCTGGAATACCTCATGTACCACTATAGGCTGGGGGACAGTTGGAGAGAGCAGCTTTGCAGAGAAGTACCTGAGGGTTCTGGTGGGCAATGGGGCAGATTACCCAGTGCCTTCTTGCAGTGGGGACCAGCAGCATCCTGGGTGATGGTAGCGTGACTGTAGCACTTAGTGTCCAGGGAAATGATCCTTCTTCTCCTTTTGAACGCTGGCAAAACCACATCTGGAGTACTGTGTCTGCTTTAGGGCTTCCTTGTAGGAAAAAAGACGTTGACGTACTGGAGCAAGTCCGGTGGAGGGCTGCCAAGAGGCTGAAGGGGCTGGAGAACGTGACATTTGAGGAGAGGCTGATAGAGTGGGGTCTGTTCAGCATTAAGAGGAGTGAGTTCAGATCTTGTTGCCATCTAAAACTATCCCATATGAGCACACAGAGGAGGTGAAGCCAGACTCTACTCAAAGGTGTGTTTTGATGAGACTGGAGAGGACAGGTACTAGTTGAGTGGCAGGAAAACTTTAGATATTAGGGCAAACCTCTTCACTGTGATAGTGGTTCAGTGTCAGAATAGGAACCTAGAATAATTGTGAAATCTCCATCCTTGGAGATAGGGAAAAACCAGACTGGCCATGGCTCTGGACACCCTGCTCTAATGAATGGTGTGTGCAGGTGACCTTCCCAGGTCCCTTCCAACCTAAATTTGGTGATGGTTTTGATTCTTTCTTCAGTGAGTAAATGCTGCTGGCCTGCCTGTCAGAGCAGAGACCTGCACAGGCTGTTCTCTGATAAGATGCCTGTGTTGCCTTTCAATTATGTGCCTCGTAATACACCATGCCAGTTCCCCTTTATCACTTTCGGGATCTATTAGATTCCTGGTGACTAAATAAATTCAAAGGCTTTTACAAAAGCCTTTGAATAAATTCAATAAAATTCAAAGGCTTAAAATTCATAGACTTATATTTATTATACAACATTTCAAAGGCTTGTCAATAAATAAAATTCAAAAGCTTGTATCATTTTTTTTCCTTTGGTAGTGAAGTACACTTAGAAATCCTAGGGAGATTTCGTAATTTGGGAGTGGGGGGGGGGGGTGAAATCTGAGACAGGGGATAGATGTTGTGAGCAGAATGGAATGCATATGTTTTTGGTTTTGTTGGATTAGTGTTTTAAATCCCCTCATTGCAACGTGCTGCAGCACACTGTCTGACGTGGTATTCGACATCTAAGCTGCGCGTCGTCCGATGTGAACTTGGCTGACTTGTGTGTTGGCAGACGATGAGAGTGTTGTGCAGTATCCACGGTCAGTTTTGCTGAATGAATTAGAAAATTCAGATGGTGTTGAAGTAGTAGTGTGGCAAGACATTGCTAAATGACTTAGTATTTTTTTGTTTCACAGCGAACTGCTCTGGTAGCGTTGTGACATTCTTTCTGAACGTGAAATGTGTGAAATCTGATGGTATGGGCCCAGAACTGATGCCAAGAGAGCAGGTTCATCTGTTTCATAGATAGTGTTGAGTGCCTTTTGCACTACAGAATTAAAATGGGGAAAGTAATTTTTGTTTTGGATTACTTGCACAAGGAAGTAATTTTTTTGATTAGAAATTACTTGCTTGTTTTTAAATGTGAATGGATTGAGACTATCTAAAGTCTTGTATTTGAGGAGGTAGAGTGGGATTGCTAGTTCAAAAATGGAAAAAGTAGTATCACATGAAAACAGATTTCTTCCAGAGTGCCTCCTCTCCATCTGTGTGAACAGCTCTTCACTAGTGTAGGCAGATAGAACGCCCAAATGTATAACCAAATAACAAAATAGGAGAGTTTATTTTTCAGTCATACCTTCCTAAAGCTTGAGCAGAAGTGGGTGTGTCAGAATTTATTTGGTTGAAGCCTTTAAATGTGCATTTTGCTTTTTATTTTTAATGTACAACAAGTGCTGAAATAGTTTAACATTTGAGTTACACTGAAATGAATTGCAGAAGTTGAGTTTGTTTCTTTAGGGCAAGGCTTTGTCCTTGTGTATGAGCTGGCAAAGTTATTAGTGTTGGAGTTTCTCTTTTTAGACTTTTAGAGCAGCGTTCCTAGCAGCAGGTCAGATAAAGACTCACTTGTACTACTGCACGTGAACACAAGATAATCCCTTCTTGATATGTTTTCAAGAGAACAAGGACACAAAAAAAACCCCCAAAACTTTCAGATTTGCCTGAAAAAGTTTCAGGTGCCAGTGTGTGGAGAAGTGAGAATTTGAGATCGGAGTCATTGATGAGTTTTGTTCTCTCCATGACATAAGTGCACCATCATATAAATGGTTTCTCTCTGTTTGGCTCTGTCATATAGCTCTGAGTGTCTTAATGTACTTCTTTGTGGATGAGTAACTACATACGTGGTTATTTCGGAGATGATCCTTTTCCTTCTGGGCAGTGTGTCGGTTCTGCTTGTTGGCTCGGGGAAGCTGAATTTCTGTGAGATGTTTATATAACAGGGGTCACTGCAGTAAGTGGAGAGAGCTCGTGGGAACTAGTAGAGGCACTCTTCTGGACTTTGCTCCCACCAAATTAAAGAAAACACAGTGCATGTGCATTTGCCCTGCAACAGTTCTGAACTATGATGGACTGTTTTAACAAGGAAAAAATAAGTAGAGGTCAACTATTTACTTTTCTGTGTAAGAAAACTGCTTTTGAGTTCTTCCTTGGTATTCTGCGCTGGTTTAGTAACTCCCTGCATTTCAAGTCTTAGATACAACGAACTTTAATTTTAATTTTTTTATCCTTGCTGCAGTGAGCATAGTAGAGTTACAGTCCTATTGTACAGTACGGTGTCTCGTTTTCATAATTACATTGTTTAAATATTCAGCTAAATACAGACTAAAATACAGGAGTGATTCAGATACCTGATATGACAAAACTTCCAGCATGGATGTTGTAATTATTGGTTGTGTTGGCTGACCTTACAGCTTTTTTGAGATACCCATGTTTTGTGTTCTGCTTGGAAAAGAGGAAATTATTATTTTTTTTGAGACCAACACCTCTCTTCCTTTTTGAGCTCCCTTTTTCTTCATTACTCTCTTCTGTTTTCATTCAGTTCCCATAGAAATGACAGGAAATTAAATATGCTCTTAGAAGTTCAACACATTTATCATTAATAAACTTTCCTTAAATACAAGAAACAGTGTTTCTTATAGTCAATTCTTAAAATATTTTCTTTCTTTGCTCTTCTGTGTGATTCTCATGATGTCAGTTTAATGTCTAATGATGGTGATGATTAAACCTTTCTGACGTGATGTTGTTTTAAATAGATGGGAGAACAGGATAGCCATGGATTTATTACTGAGTGTGAGAATTCATCTGCTCGTGACACATTTTGCTATGTTGTCGTAATTTATTAGTAGTCAGTTGTAAAAGGTTAGTAACAGAGTGTGTGAGTTCTGAAAAGAGAAATCACATGAATGGAAGCTGTTTCCTTCCTGTGTGCAAAAGGACTGTTACGCAATGGTTAAACTGAGAGCATCTGCCTACTTTTCAGATGGTAAAGCAGTGAAGGTATGAGTAGATCTAGGAGAACTGCATAGGGTGATGAGGTTTTGGAACCTCTAATTAGTGCTTGAAAATGAGTAAACAGTTGTACAGACAGTGGCGTCCTTTATTCATTCTGGGAGTAACTGAAAATCAGGCTGCATTTAAATCCACGTGGTAGAAACTTCTAAGTGCAAGACTGTCCCACCTTTCTAAGCTGACAAGTATTTTTACTGTCAAGCAACGTGGAATGAGTTAATCTCAGACCTTTATTGTAAGCTGGAATTGAAAATGTAGCACAGAGATTCAGCATTTCCCCTGTTCCGTGTTTCAGTTGTTACTCTGTACGCTACCCTGGGGGGCCCGGCAATCGTGCATGGGCTGAACGAGACGGAGGTGACCACCATCATCACCAGTAAAGAGCTGATGCAAACAAAACTGAAGGTCAGCAAACTGTTCTTTGTCTATTTCTTTCCAGTGTGTCTGTACATTATCATTAGATGGCCTGGTTCCACTGTACCACTGTTCCAATGATTTATTGCCTTTCTATAAGGCAGATGCTTTTGGAATAAGGTTTACGTACAAAAAAAGTGATGGTTTTAGGCTCCACAGTGACCCTGGAGAATGGGATGAGCAATTTGCAGTATAGAAGACCTGCAGTGCTGCCTGGAACACCTTTACAAGAAACTGCCGTGGTTTCTGAGTGGATTTAGTGCCTATAAATCTAACAATGGGAAGAACGGAAAAATTTATAAACTGTATGGAGAGCTAAATGTGATCATCCTCCTGGCTTATTGTTGGTTGTTCTCCCAGCAGAGAATGGCTTTTAAGTATAAAGATGGGTGATTGAAGAGTTAGAGCTGTTTTTCTGTGTGGGGGAAAGCTTACTAAACATTACAATAGCCAAAAAACTTGTCGCTTGCTAACCAGGTGGAATACCCAAGTAGAACAATTAATCTGAATTAGTTCCATCATTGTGTTTTGGTGGAAATGGGACCTTTCAGATAAGGGAATTTAATGAAAAACTGTGCTGTTGCTGGAAATTGAATGAGAATGTCCCAAACTTTAAAAAAAGTTACTACAATGACAATATATACACAATGCACATTTATTTCAACTTACGGTAAGGGAATGTATTTGTTCTGCTAGAGGTGATGATCATCTCTTCTTCCACTAGAACACTGATAAATGTTTTAGAACTGATGTTTTGCTTCAAATGCTTAATTAATAATTGTCCATATTTTTGCTAGCTGTTGCTTATTCTAAGTAGCATAGTTACCAAGGGGTAACCTAAGAATTATTGTGAGCTCATTATCATCAGTTTTTCTCAGTGTTCTATAGATGTGAAAAGTCAATTATCTCTACAATTCACTGCTGTCTTATTTGTGGGGGTTCATGAAGTAAAATACAAATCAATAAATGGTTAGAGAAGCTTCTGGACTTGTAAGTGGAAAGTTTCAACCGTTGCAGCTTTTTGAGCTCAAAAAGTTTATCCTCTGATATTGAAAATTCTGAGATGCTTTCTAAAAAGTGTACAATAGATAGTGTGGGTGTTGTGGTTCTTGTTTGTTTGTTTGTTTGTTTGTTTTTTTCTTGTTGGCATAATCCTCATTTTCAGTTTTTGAACACATTTTTACTTCCACAGGAAATCGTATCTCAAGTTCCACTGCTACGACACATTATTACAGTGGATGGCAAACCAACAATGTGGTCAGAGTTTCCCAAGGGTGTCATTGTTCACACAATGGCATCTGTGCAAGCCATGGGGGCCAAGGCAGATGCTGGTAGGTTCTCTTCTTTTTGTTTGGACCATCTCATTTGTTGTCCTACCCTGACTCTGTCGAGTAAACTTGGGGAAATAGCAGATCTCAAAATTATGCAGTGATTAACCTTTTCTTATCTGCCTTTTCTTTGAATAAAATGTGGGGGATTTTCTTTTTGTATGGTTGTGGTTGTTTTTTGGCATGTAGTTTTTTGGTTTTGTTTTTCAACTGAGGAAAATGCCTTCTCCACAATCAGGTGTCACATGCTGAAGGAAAAGTTTTTTGGATAAGCATTTAGCCCAGGATAGAAACTTGGAAAGCATTTTTCTGATCAGACATATTGAAACCAGATTTTTCAGGGCACACAAATGTGCATTTTATGACAAAAGAAGTCAGTTGTTTGTTACCGTTAAGTTTCGTGAAATTCACAGGTAGAAAAATGTAAAATAGCCATTTGAATCTGATAGATTAAATCTCAAGATTTAATTATATTCAGTAGTTGCTTCCTTCTGCTCTTATCCTTTGTGTTTTCAGAATCTCTTAACTACTGAAGGCACTTGAGTGTTGGATTGTATTTTAGGAGTAGGAGGGTGGTTAATCCATCTGCTCTTGATGTTCTGGGGAGTGGCAATTTTGCTCTCAGCATCGTTAACTCAGTTTCCTTAAAAGATGGTTTTCTGTTGTTGATGTACCAGTTTTATGTACTATTAAAACTGTTTCATACAACACCAACAGAAAAATTATGTCTGTGGTAATTCATTAACTCCTTGAGATCTGTTAATCTTTGTGGTGTGTGTGTAAAAACAGTGTCTAATCCTTCTTTTTTTAGTCTTTTAAATATCCCATGATCTGCACTACAATAAAGGAACATTATCTTTGTCAAGTTAACCATTCATAATCTCTGAAATACTATCATGAATTGTTTATGGTCAGGCATGTCCAATTAATATTAAGTAGGTGAGCTGTTTCTTATATTTTCTTCCTCTGTGTGTTGTTCATTGTGCAGGATAGGCAGGATTCAGTGAGTGGGAAACGATTAAAAATGTTTTCACGCTTCTCATTCATTGTGCCTGTTGTGCCACATGCATTGTGCATTATGCAGTTTTTCCTCTGAGTGAACACAATTGTTTTGGTATTTTCTTGCCCTCAGTGCAAGCATTTAAAAAGCACTTTAATCCAGTTAGAGCTGTTGAACTTCTTTTAAATATTTATAGGAATTGGACCTCACGTTGGCTCAGCAGTGCCTTGCTGCAGGTGTTGCAAATGAGGCAGCGTTGTTCCCTGCCAGGGAGCATGTGAGAAAGGAGCTCTGCACAGAGGGGATGGACCCTGCAGCAGCTGGAACCAGGGCAGCAAACCTTCCCAAGGGGGAAATGCTCAGTGACATTTTGGAGAAGCCAAAGTTCTGCTCAGTTTTTTTTCTGCTGCTGGCATAGCAGAAATGTAATAGGATAAAAGTCCCTCAAAGTATTGCTCAGCTCATGCAAAGTTCCTGCTCCTTGTGAAGGCATTTATGCTTGACCACAATCTTTTTAAACAAAATGTAATGGCAAGAGTCATGTGGTGTTGCATTGCAGTGACTGCTGGAATGTGTTAGTGTATCAGATCTCCCAGGCTGAGAGCCTCCCCGCATGTTACACGTTCTCTTTTTTTAACACAAATTGCAGGAATCAAACAACCATCCAGGCCTGTGCCCTCTGATATCGCGGTGATCATGTACACAAGTGGATCCACAGGAATTCCCAAAGGAGTCATGATCTCCCATTGCAACATAATTGCTGGGATAACTGGAATGGCTGAGAGGATTCCAAACCTGGGGTACGTATGAACCATTGCTTACCAGCAAATAAAGAAGCCATGTAGTTGCATAAAATTTCAGATTAATTACTGTGGAAAAAATAAACCTAGCTGTGTCTGTGGCACACCATACTATGGACTGATGTCTGAGGATCTTCCAGTACTGCACTAAATGACATGACTACTTCATGTGCTGTTTTTTCTCTCATCTTCTCTATGTGTGTAAGACTGGGACACAAAAGCCTGTGAGGCTACCTTGCTCTCGAGTGGTTGAAAGCTCCCCTAAGCAGTACTTCCCTTGGTTAGTGTTTAAATTCTGTGGTTTCTTTCTGTTTGGTGCAGTTTTTGATCTTGCCCACAGAGTTCCCTTTTCAACCATAGCACACCGTTAATTGTCTTGGGATGAGTAAACATCTCCCTTTGTTCATGCCTTGAGCCTGCAGTCCATAGTACACAACTTCTGAAACAAAACCCATATCATCTGAAATATGTTCTTAAGCTTGAGTTAATTCTTCACAGGGAAAAAGACATCTATATTGGCTACTTGCCTCTTGCCCACGTTCTGGAGCTGAGCGCTGAGCTGGTGTGTCTGTCTCATGGGTGCCGCATCGGTTACTCCTCACCTCAGACATTGGCTGACCAGGTACGTTGTAGATGTAAGTCCTTAGACTATATAGATTAAAAAAAAGAGAAAATTAAAAAAAAGAAATTACTCAGATCTCTATAATATTTCTCAAAAAAAAAATAGTACAACAAATCTTCATTTCTGCAGTTCATGAAACAGGGTGTTGGGGATTATGACTGATACTCTGGGCCAGCTTTAACTGTCAGAATTTAATTTACATAAAAATTACTGTTTTGAAAGATGTGTTCTGTCATTTTGTTTGTCATGTTAAAAATCTTGAGTATGTCTGCTAGTAAATTTGTTCTTCATTTTAGTCCTCTAAAATAAAGAAAGGAAGCAAAGGAGATGTGACTACACTTAAACCAACTCTAATGGCAGCTGTCCCGGTAAGTAACTGAAGGATAAATAATTCTAAAAATTATTTTTAAATGTAATGCATAATTCAATTTTTAACAACAAAATCAGTGCAATGACCATTTAAGTAAAAAAGGTAGATCCTTTGATAAAACTAGCTTAAAATAATAATTTTGGTATTTTTATGTTGGAGGTAAACATTGGTAAAACTATGTTGGAGGTGACAAGATTTTTCAAAGTTGGAATAGCTATAGGGATTAGATTCCCACTTTAATTAGTAATTTATTGATCATCATAGTGAATGGAATGGAATAAAGAGAGTTGGCAGCAGGCAGCTTGGGGTTTAACTAGTGCTCCTGCACAGACATTTGCTTTCCTCCTTGCTGTGATCATCTTGGTATCTCTTAGTAATGGAAGAGGAGGGAACCTGGGAGTCGGTTGTCACCTGAAATGTACTTGAATTTCTAGATCATGTTTTCTTTTTGTTGTACTGAATTTAGGGATTCTGTTTCTTTGAGTTAAAGTTCATCTTTTTATGTAACTAGGAAATTATGGATCGGATCTACAAAAACGTCATGAATAAAGTGAATGAAATGACGAGTTTCCAGCGGAATCTATTTATATTGGCCTACAATTACAAAATGGAACAGATTTCCAAAGGTTACACTACCCCACTCTGCGATAGGTAATGTTAACTTTATTTGTAATGGCATCAGAATATCACTTACCAAAGTCTTACCACATGAGCAGGACCTGATTTTCTTTTTGTGCTTTTCTTCACTTTATTGTTGACACTCTGAACATGAGCAAGACTAAATAAGTGTAAATTGAAACAACAAATCTGTAGCTTGTGTGATGGATTTAAATATTTACTGATATAATTTAAGTGAGTGTTATTTAACTTGAAACTGATCGGAAATTTACATTATTGCATTATTTTCATCAGGGACTTAATAATAGATTTATATAATTCTTGGTAAGATGAGAACTCCACTCCTGTAGAAAACCGTAGACTTCGTATTTTCACAGAAGGGAGACATAGAAAATCTCAAGTTGGAAGGAATCCACAAGGATCATTGAGTCTAACTCCCAGCTTCAGTGAGACTGAAGGATAATGTAGTTGAAAAACTTACACAACTTACTTGAATTATTTTTAGGAGAAAATTGCAGAACTTTGCCGTCTCATTAAATCTACGTTCTCAGACATTTAACCCCTCTTTATATTAGAATGTGGAAACAAGCGCAGAAAGCTTTTTGAAAACTTCACTGTGCTCCTTCAGGGTTCTCCTTGAATGCCATAGGAGTGTTTTCGAAGGTGGTGGAAGCTTTCAGTTCAGATTTAAAGGTTGGTACTGTCTCTCTTTGTTTTTAACCAACAAATATATATATTCTTATCTTTGCATTTCAGCCTTATCTTCCGGAAAGTCCGGATGCTGTTGGGTGGGAAGATCCGCATCCTGCTTTGTGGAGGAGCTCCGCTGTCGGCAGCAACGCAGCGGTTCATGAACATCTGTTTCTGCTGCCCGGTGGGACAGGGCTACGGGCTGACAGAGTCGGCTGGAGCCGGAACAATCACGGAAGGTCAGTGTCCGTGGATCCCACTGCGTGCTCTGATCCGTGCTGCGTATGCCATCTTTGATGGCCTGTCCCCCTGGTGTGTGCCTGCCACCAGGCATAACTGGGGAATCCTGGGAATTACTTGTTGTCGTAAATGCATGAGACAGCGGGAGCACTAATTTTGGCACACTGTGCTAAAGCTGGTGACCTACATATAAAATGGATGTTCTCATTAAAGTTCCAAAATAAACAGCAGTTAATTCTCACTTAATAAGATGCATGACAACGAAAGATGTATTTTTTTTTCTAATTGGTTTTGGTTAAATATTTTTCTGAAAAATGCTCTTTTTTAAAATTCTAGTTTGGGACTACACTACAGGAAGAGTGGGAGCACCTTTGGTTTGTTGTGAAATAAAGTTATTGAACTGGGAAGAAGGTGAGAACTCCTGTTTCTGATTAAATTGAAGTGCGTTTGTAAGAACTGTATTTTAATAATATATATATACACTATACTGGGTCTTGCTCAGTAGTAGTAATTAGAACACTATTTCTTGGCTATTTAGATTTTAAATGCTACTCTTGCCTATAAATTTTGCTCCTGGGAAGAAGAAAGGTAAAAAGTCTGACATACATTTAGGCGATTTCCTTTCACTGTAGGCTTTTATGTATTGTAGAGTAGAAATATGTAATACTTAAGGCTGTTTTAGGCCAGAGGGAAACCTTACAGTTTTTTTTTTTTTTTTTTAAATGTGAGGGAAAATTTTTTTTTTTTTAATTTGAGCCTGTGTGGAACTGATAGAGCGTGTTAGTACTGGCAGAAAGATTGCACAGAGGTGGCATTTGCCTCTGCATGTGTATGAATGTCACTGTTTGATTAACACACCTGTTTAATAGCTGTTTAGATGCTGAAAAGAATTACATATATTTCTTCTCTTGATGAACTATTTAGGCAAGTGGTAGCTTTGGCTAAGGACTTAATACAGTGTTCAGTGCTATATTTAGATAGTGAAAATAGTAGGAATTTTTGCTTTGTAATATGTTTTAATTCTCGTTAACTAATAAACCCATCATTTTAGGTGGCTATTACAACACTGATAAACCATATCCTAGAGGTGAGATCCTTATTGGAGGGCAGAATGTGACTGCGGGCTACTACAAAAATGAAGCACGAACCAAAAAAGATTTCACTGTCGATGAGAATGGGCAGAGGTGGCTCCATACTGGAGACATTGGGGAGTTTCATCATGATGGCTGTCTAAAAATTATTGGTGAGTTAAGTTCAGGTGAACATATGGATGTATATATACACACACATTTTTCAGGGGTGTTAAATACAGTAATTAACAACAAAAAATTCTCCATATCTTGGCATGTAGTAAAGTCCCCTCCCATTTAGCCCAGGGAAGTTCTGATATGTTAATGGAAGCTTGTTTGTGTGTTTTAGAAGTTGATTTTTGGTTACTTTTGAAACAGTCTTAACACTGACTCCATATGTTAGTGAGACTTGGGTAGTAATTAGAGAGTCAACTATAAGCTAATTCAGTAGATTAGGTGCCTTAGGTTGTATAGTTTTGTAAGTGTGGAATTTAATCAGTGAAAAGGTTCTTGGGGTAATATGTGCTCAGGAATTAAATAAGCCTTTTTTTAATCTTGGCATTCTTTGTAATATCCTTTTATCATGTAGGGCTAGGGGAAAATATGCTGAGATAAAGGTTTTAATACATAAACCGATGATAGTCTGTAGGTGCAAAATTAGGTGCTTTATAAATGACCTGGAGACTCTTAAAGTCAGAAGGTGATTCAGAGAGCTTTTAATCCTGAAAAAAAAAAATACTATTTGGTTTATTATAGGAGAAGAATCTTAGGTCCCACTGCAGCTGTTCTTGCTCTGATCAGATAGGTCAGAGAGCTACAGACCCCCTGGCCTGGTTGCACAAAGCAGCAAAACAGCACATGGTGAAGGAGGTGCTGCCACCACATCTTAGGGGGACGAGGCCCCGTCCTCACCTTTGTCTCCTTCAGGCTATGTACAATAAGATTGAGTTATTTGGGCTTAAGTTTTGGTTCTTGTTGTTGTTTGTCAAGTAACAAGTGTGCAGTTGCTCTTTATATATGGATTTAGGCTGAAATAAATAACAGAATGTCACCAAATTGTGCATTTTCTGCCTTGAGTGTCCGCACCAGCCAGCACAAAATGTGTCCTCCTAGCTAATACTGGATTTTGCATAATCCTAGTTGTCTTCCATGCACATGATGGTGCTGTCATATAGGAAATGCTGTTCTAAAGGCAGAAAATACATGGAATTTTAATGTCCCTTTTTTTTGGTGTGAGCGATGGATTGATAAAATACAGAATCTGGAAACCTGACTTTAAATGTTTCTGGTACATTCACCAAACGTGACCCAGCTTATCTTTTGGTATTTATAGATTCATCTCAGAAAAATCTAAAATTGTCATCTAAAAGTTTTCTGTTCTGTAATTAACATTTAATTCCTTTTTTTCCCCCCTCATTAGATCGCAAAAAAGATCTTGTAAAACTGCAGGCAGGAGAATATGTTTCTCTTGGCAAAGTAGAAGCAGCTCTGAAGAATCTCCCACTGGTAGATAATATTTGTGCGTATGCAAGCAGGTAAGAGGCAGCTGATACTTTTTACTGCTCTGTTTTTTGTCTGTCCTATTGAAGCCAATAAGGAAAAATTTTTGCCACTCATTGTGTGGCATTTTTTTAATCAATTGAAAAAGGATTTTTACATATAATACAATGGAATAACTTTATCAAAACTAAAACCTCTGAAATCTGTGTTTTTGTTTTTTGTTTCTCCTTTGTTTTCATCCTTTGTTGGAAAATGCCAATAAAAAATGAGTCTCTTTCATTCCCTCTTCCCCAATCTGAAAAGCAGCTGATTTCTGACTGCATTAATAACAGACATCACTCAAGCACTTAAGAGGTTATTACCTATAGAAGCACTAGGACACCTTATTTGTTGCTGTATTTAGTTGTACTTCAGAGGAAGGTGGTAGAAAAAATCCCTGACTGACTTGCGAGTTAAAATTACTTTTCTTTAACCCCTTTTCCTACACCAGCAGAAGCCTTGAAGCTTAAAACACTCTAAATACTATGCAAACACACAATTAATAAGTGATGATCATATGACCTCTCTGCTTTCTATATGCACTGATAAGTGAGACATATAAAGGCTCAAGCGTGTCTTAAGTTTGTATTTTTACAGTTTCTTACCTCTGAGTAATAGAGACTTACACATATAAATATACTTACATGTATAAATATACTTAAGGTTGTCTTTGTTTTCTTTGACATTGTGATGTTTGAAAAATCATTTTTGAATGATCAGAAATATTCTTATTTCCAGTTTGGCCAAAAAAGCCCCACTTTTGATAGAAGGCAAGACAAGCATACCAGAGAATTGCTCAGTGATAATAAATAAAAAAGTAACTTTGGGTTTGTTCTCCTGGTTCTCTGTAATTCTTGGGTGGCTTGTGTTGACTAATAGTAGTTCATCCTGTAACTTCAGTTCTGACAGTTTGGGATCAGTAGGCTAACATGCATTGGGCAAGCCATTGCTGAGAAAATTTCCATTATATTAATCTTTATTTGTGGTTTGTACCTGTTGAGTGAGTCTCTTATTTGATTGCTTTGACTGCCTGAAGTTACGTGCTTTCTGCAAGCACCATCTGTAGTCTGTGGAGAAGGAGCTTCCTACAGGTGGTGATTTCTGCTCTTCTAGGACTGAAGTTCACAAATTGTGTTAATTTTGACAGGTCAAAATAACACTGAAAGCTAAAATGCGCTTGTCAGACAGACACTTGACTCTGATAGACTGTCTTGACTATTATTTAAAAACAGGAAAACCTATGAGCAATTTTTAAAGGTAATTTACAAACAAGAGTCTAGATCCAGGACAAACAGAACAAGACATTCTAGGTTGGTTTTGCTGCTGCTGTATTTCTTCTCCAGACTATTGTGGCATAAGTAGCCACATCATACAGATTCCCTGATTGATTGTCCATATGCACATTTCATTGTGGGTATATGCTCACCTCAGCAGTTTGAGCTCAGAGTGTTTTGTAACAGTGCCTGTGACCTCTTAGATCCTGTCTCTCCTTATTCTTTGCCTGGGTGATCTCCATTGCAGGAGGAGTCCTTCATTTGTAGCTGTTCTGCCTCCCCCATGCAAAAGGACAAGGAGGGCAGACTTTTACAAACGAGTTAAATCTGCGATTTGACTTTAGATCTTGGGGTGCAAAGCTCCTCTGCACATGGCAATAGGGAATCAAAATTGTTTGCATGATATTGCTGCTTCAGAAGCTGTGTTGACTTCACAAATATTCAGTATGATAAGGAATAAAATGTTTGCTGAAAGGAATCTTGATTTAGAGTTCTTTCAGGTGAAACTTCTACTGCTTTATCAACACTTCACCAGTCCAGGATGCATTAAGTGGGTCTTGAGCATCACCTTAGGAAAATGAGTAGTTCAGTTACCTGAGAAATGAGCAAATGTGGTAAAAAAACACCCGAGGGAGTTCTCAGCAGGAGTCTCGAGATAAGGACCAGATGTGTAGCGCCACTGAATATCTCTGACCATAGGTCTGAGAGCTGTTTGTGGGTAGGAGTTCAAGCACAGCAAGGGAATCAGAATGTCTAGAGTAGGACAGACGTTTTGTCAAAATCTTTTAGCACGGAGGGGATGGCTAAAGTGGTCCTGGGGACCAAAGTCTGAAAATTTCTTCCTTCATGCTGTTGTGATGACTTCCAAGACTGGCAAAGCTACCAAATGCAAAAGATCCGCTGAAGGAACAGTGGTGGAGAGGGAAGTAACTGCTCTAGAGGGAAGATGAACTGTTCAGGATACTTCCTGAGACAAAACAGTGCTTTAGCATTTGAACTGTAACAAGTGAAGATTTAACTTCCTGAAACAGAATGAAAAGCTGCACGTTCCAGGAGCTGTGGTGTTCTTTCCAGGAAAAAGCACAGTTGGATGAACCTGCTTGTCCAGAACAAGTATACTTCTACTCAAGAGGCTGAACTTTAGGTGAATCAGAAAGTTCAGTGCTTACCCAGTCAACTGATTGTTTCTGTGTGCTGTTTATTCCTGGAGACACTGGTGATACTGCTGGACTTGACCTTAAGCATGTCAAAAGACTACAGGAACCAGGGATGCAAGAGGCAGAGTCATTTGTTCTGGGTACCTTCATACACAATACTTACACATTAGAGAGTAGAGCCTAAATGAAGCTACAAGGGTTCAGTACAGAATAGAGCATGAGTGTGCATGGGGAAGGAAATCACACCAAGGCAAAAGCAGAGGGTGAGATGCAAGCAGTAATAATACTGAGACTAATCTGAAATCATTCTTTAAGTACATTCTTAGTAAGAGCAAAACGGGAACGGTTTCAAGGCTGCCAGCAGACAAAGCTTGTGATGATGTTTGTAATGGACTCGTCACAACTGCTGTCAGAGGCCCGTTATAATTCCTGTCAGTAACAAAGGAGCAAATCATACTGTACAGGAACCAAAAGGGTATTTAGAGTTAGTAATTTAAAATTATCTTGGAGACCTTAAAGGATAAGCTACAGTAATCTCCATACCAGGGTTAAGTTTCTGTACGTTACATTAATGATCTGTCTGATGAGAGAGAGAGAGAGTTGAAAAGATTTAATAAATCTGTAGATAGCTAAGATGAGATAGAACTAAAGCCACAGTAGAGGATAGGATTAGAATTCATAGCAAGCTTGGCTAGATGGAGATTTGCTTGAAAACAGCAGTCGCGTTAAAGAGGGGAATTGTAAATTATACTTACACCTGAACTGCAAAAGGCCAGGATCAGAGCCACCAGCTGGTAGCAGTTTTGTTGGAGCTGACATCAGTCAACAAGTGCAATGCAGTTCTAAGAAGGTATGGAATAATCAGATGTATTGCCTGCAAGATGCACAATAATCTTTTTGCTTTACCAAGCATTAAAGAGTCTGATTTTCACATGTAGTGCTTCTGAGAAGGTGGACCTCTTGAAAAGAGTCCAGGAGAAAACTGGGTGTGTCTGGGCAGAGGACTGTGATATGATTTAGGAGGAAAGGGCACTGCTTAAATTCCTAAATAAACTTTAAAAAGGAAGGAAGATTAGAAAGGTGAGAAAGAAAAAAGTAACAGTCTGTGAATAAATAAATGGCTTCTGTGGACAAGAGAGGAACATCCGACTATTCTGAAGTAAGCTACAGAGAGGGAGTCAGGAATAGCCATCAGGAACAACTTGCAATGAAGCAATGGTGGTAACGCCCTATGTTTAAGAACGATTTAGACAGGCATCTGTTACATGTATCTGACTCTGCTTCAGAGCAGGTCGATTAATTAGATGATCTTCTGAGATTGCTTTCAGCTCTCTGGTTCTGTGAAGCGCTTTGTTAGAATGAGTAGAGCTGCTGTATCACATTCTGTTCACATTTTCCCTGAACTATACGCCATCTGAAAAATCTTGAATACCTGTTTCAGGGTGAACTGTGCTTCAGTGTTTTCCAAAGACTTTGAGATCACAGCTTCACATGTTCTGGGCATATCAGGAGCAGACAAAGATTGCCAACAGTAGAGTGAGCGTATGGACAATCACTTTAAAAGAGAAAGAGAAGTCACTTCCCTTACAGAAGCAGGCATTCTTTGAGATGTGTTGTGCATATGCTCATTCCACAACCTGCTCTCCAACCCCTCTTCACTGCAGTCCTCTACTCCTCTACAGTAACTGGGATTCTGCAGTTGAGAGGAAACTGAGGTAGGGAAGCCGCACACCAATCTTCATACCGGGATGCAAAACATGAGGAGAGGCAGGGCGCATTGACACCGTATGGGAACTGCTTCCCAAAGCTTTGAGCATGAGGCACAGTGGAATATGCATATGGACAGCACACCTTGAAGCAATCCAGTTACTGTAAGGTAAGTGGCTTCTCTTTCTACTTATTTTTAAGCAGGTGAAGGTACCTTTGTGTGCTATTTCAGAAATATTATCAGGTGAACAAAAGCCAGCTTTTGAGAGCAATGTCTCTGTATGAAGGTGCAAACCCACCCAACTTGAAATGTTATTTTTGAAGGCTTGTTTACTTTACTAAATCCATACTAAAGTATATTGTACTTCTCAGTTTCCATTCTTACGTCATTGGATTTGTCGTGCCAAATCAAAAGGAGCTCGCAGAACTAGCTCGAAAAAAAGGATTTAAAGGAACCTGGGAAGAGATCTGTAACAGTCCTGAGATGGAAAAAGAGGTACTGAAGGTGCTAGCTGAGGCTGCCATGGCAGGTGAGTGGCTGGGTAGGTGGTATCGACCTTGTGGATTGCAATATCTGTGAAACAGATAAGTATAGGCCCTAAAAAGATTTCCTGGAATGTGTATATTTCGTAGAACCTGTACAAAGTGAAATTTTCATACCAAAAGACCCCAACAACAAAACCATGATTTGCATCATTTTGGTTCATGGAACTTCTCTTACTGTGGCCAATACTTTTCCTCTTACTGAGGAAAGAATATAAGAACAGGACAGACTTAACAAGTTCAGTTTGTGTGTCTGGTGTTCTTTAAGATGTCCTGTAGTATCTTTTTGGCCTTAGCTGATGGAACAAAAAAAAAAATGCGTGTCATCGGAACGTGTGTCGTGTATCACGCAGTCTCACATGCTACATACTGATAAAGAGCTGAAATAAGCCTGTGGAGACAGAGGTTCTCCTGGTTTCCAGCTACTTGCATCTGAGGGATTTCCAAAACTAAAGCAGCATCTTTGCAGTTAGTAACTTCCAGTAGATTTTCCTTCCGTTAACTCTTATGTCACACTTGAAAATTACTCGGATATTCTTGTAAATGTATTAATCTCTGATGAGTGTGCTTGCCAACTTCTGTAAGAGGATCATCCTCCTGCCATCAGTGCTGTCTCAGCACTGCAGCAGACTTTTGCCTTGCCCCATGTCTGGAGTCCATTTATTTTCCCTGCATGGAGCATGTGGGCAAAGTTATTCTCAGAAGCTACTGTGATGGGAGAGCATGTTGGAAGTTGCTTTCCTTTCTTGTGTGGCATTAACTATTCTAAAGAGAATTAAACATGTTTGTAAAATTGATGAAAAAGAGTATTTGATTTAATCCTGAGGCATTTTTACACGTATTTATGTTATTTTATATTTGCTTTTGATTTTCACTCTAGTAACACAGGCGTTACTTTTAAAGTAATACTGTGCTTTTTAGTTTTAAATTGGAAACAAACAAACAAACAAACAATAACAACAACCCCCCTCCCAAAACCAAACCAAAACGCAAAAAAACCCCAAACCCCAGTAATCTAATGCCAGGGGGAGTAAAAAAAAGTGCAGGAAAATCTAACAGTGCCAGATTGCACAGAATAACTCTGCGTTTGTGTATGTTTTCGAAATTTAACTTGAAAATAGATGTGTTTAAGATTACTGCTCATCTGTTGAACACTTTTCTAAGTTATTTGTTTTTCTTCCCTTATATCTGAAATCGTAGCAGAAGCTCTTGCTAATTGATAGTGTTTTGTGCTAACACTTAGCACTGTTCTGTTTCAGGACAGGCTGCCATATGAGTTTAATTTCCTTCATCAGTTTAGGACTATTGGGAAAGAACAACACCCCTCCCCTATTTTTTCAAGCTTAAGCAGTATGGATTTTAAGGTTTTTGTTTCCAGATGATGAGCACCATAACGCTGGCACAGTGGTGTGTGTTTTGAGGGTGTCACTTCCAGGCACTGATGCTTTTCTGAAGTCAGGGAGCAGCACAGATACCTGAGCAACTGGGCTTTATTTCCAGTATTTCTGTGGAAACTGGAGAACAGTTACTGGTGGATCCTGTCACTGCTCATGACCCCACAGTTTATCAAAGCTAACCATGGGGCTTTAGAGGAGCACTTCATTCATGTCTCGTGCTTTTGTCTGTGAGAATAGGATTTCTCCTTTTGCGCTTCATTTTAGCTAAACGGTTACATTTATGGTTTGTATCCAAAATATTTCTCTTCACAGCTAATCTGGAGAAGTTTGAAATACCAGTGAAGATTCGTTTGAGCCCCGATCCTTGGACCCCAGAGACTGGTCTGGTGACAGATGCATTCAAGCTCAAACGCAAAGAGCTCACAGCGTACTATCAAATGGACATTGATCGAATGTACGGGAAAAATGTAAAATAATTCTCCCCTGCACCACTTTGCTACGATGAGCTCGGATCAAATAGGAAATACTTGAATTGCCTGTCTCAACTCAGCACTTGAGATCAACACACACAAAACCACCATTCCTCATTTCCAGCTTAAACTGTTATTTCCGATGACATCACTATGACGACTGGCAAGTTTAGTAAAATGTTACGGCAGCAAACTTGTGTCTGTCTCCTTTTTTTCCAGTTTTCTCTGCTACCTTGTCAGTCTGTGGATTTTCCCAGGTCTTTTTGGGAAACCATGATTCTGAAGCCTCAAATTTTTAAGCATTTATAAATCCTGTATAATGTTTTATTTGTATCTTTAAAATTTGGATGTATATAGAGAGAACTTGGCTATATAAGAAATGGTTATACTGGGGGCCTTTTTTTACCTAATTATTTAAAGATAAGGTATTGATGTTGTGACATTATGTACATTGAAAATGCTTGTAACAAGATAATTGCTGAACAGAGAACCAGGTTATTTGCTGCTGTGCTATTTTTCTGTGTAAATCCGAGGGAGAACTTGTTTGACATTCCAGCTTGTGTAATACACCTTCAATATGTGCCTAATGGTTATTTTATTTTTATCTGAAAATGGGAAGATGGTCATGGCACAACTCTGCATCAAGGCAGGTGTTAGCTAAAGCTTGTTTAATACAGAAATGGCTATTAACACAGCAGATGTTAAACCTAAGAATAACCTCTCAGATACAGAAACTCCTTTTTTTAAATAGCTCATGACCATTTCATCCAGAGTTGAGTAGTGTAGTGCTAATATGAACTCTCAGCGTTATTTTCACATAACACTTTACAGGTTGAACAGTGTCGTTTTTAGCAGAGGGACTGTAACAACTTTTGTCTTTTCTCTTTAGATTTGGACATTCCACTGGGTTTGCTCTTTATTTGTTTGTGAAAGTCTGGCAAGACCCCTGCTCTGCCCTAGCTGCAACCCAGACCTTCCTGAGGGGGATTTTTAAAGTCATAATGACAGTTATGTCCTCAGCTCACACAGTGCCTAGCTGCCCTTTGTGCCATTAAAAATCTCCCTTTGATGCTGTGTCATTTGTTTAGCACTTTTTGCTTTAAAAACAGGTATTTGAAGCATTTGTCAGCCAGAGTTATGTTGCTTGGTTTGTTACGCGGAATTCTTATTTTGGGAAGGAGCCTCAATTTTTGTTTCACTAGAGATACATGGATATTGTTTGAAGAAATATGTGGGAACATTTTTTTCAGTGAGAGTGTTTGGATTTATTTCAAATGTGAATTTTATTTTCAAAATATTTCTGGGAAGGATATTCAAGGTTGCATGAGAATGTGAAAAGGCATGCATCAGTCAACCTTGTGATGGAGCACATATTAAAATGGCTTTAATTTGGAGAGTACTCTTAATTTGTGTCCTTTACTTGTAGTACTAAAAATCAGGGTCCTGATGCACACTTAGTCCCCTGCTATAGTAGCACATAGCAATGCTGAAGGGCAGAAGCTTTGTTTGGGGGAAGGAGTTGCTGCTGTTAGTGTTTGTGACGTAGAGTTGTGGGAGGTATCAGATATGCAAATTATCCTTTTAAAGAACCTCTGAAATATTTTTTTAAATTAATACTTTCCGATGATTGTAGAAAGCGGTTTCATAGGAGTTGAAACTTATCAAGCAGGTTCCCCTGTACTTCAGTTTTGATGAAATGATAAGGTAGTTTGTGCTATTCATGGATTTCCCCTGCTGCTGTCCATGAAAAACTGGTAACGTGGTGAATCTTGATGTAAGTTATCAAATGGATATAGAAGCATCAAAAAGAAACTGGAACCATATTTATGAGATTACTGCCTTCAGATATCTAGATGATAAATGAAATGTTGAAAAATGACTGAAGAATCTGAATGTGGGAAGATTGCCAAGGCTGTAGGGAAGTGTCACACCATTTATTAGACATTGTTTATATTAAATATGTATCTGTTCTCCATCGGCAGCTTCTTAAGTAGTTCACACTCGGCACAAACTGTACATTGTTCAAATATTTTTTTGTGATTATTTTTTTTTAGTGAAAATTAATAAATTGCTGAAGTACTATGTATATCACTTGGTGCATTGTGCAGCAGATGTAAGGAAACAAATCTGCTTTGGTTAAAGAAACCTGAAGCTAGTGTTTTGTTCTGCTAAGGGTTTAAATGCATTTTGGAGAAATTGCATAAATGAAACTTTTGTAATTGTTTGGAAATAGTAGTTTTAATTTTTCTTCTAATCCAGTCACAAGATGGGGTTGCAGTCTAACTATGCATTTGATTTTTTTAGTTCAGGTCTGTTTATGTTTCAAATGGATGTGATATATATATAGTTCCTCCTTTATTAAACATCAGATTCATTGTGGACACTTATTTCTTCAACACAATGTGAAACTAAAGCAGTTCATTAAGACTAGTCTCAGCGTTGGAGATAGAAAGACTTCTAAAAATGCTTGTGATGAGTACGTTTTTGCTTTTGATTTACAACAAAAGACAGACTCCTGTACTGCTAGATCGAGTACTTCCATGTCCCACTGAGGCTGCCTGTCCTGTGGCTGCCTTCGCTCCCTGGGAAGTGACTGGGGCTGGGAAGGGATGGTAAATCAGGTTGCAGTTCAGGTGTGGGGCTTCCTTGCTCCGGTGGCCCTGGTTCTATAGGCTGCCAAGCCTGCCAGGTACTTCTGGCTGCCACCACGTGCTCTCAACATTGCTGAGCAGAAGGACAACTTTAGAGGAGTTTGTTGAAACCCTGCAGAGAGATGCACTGCTTGCCAGCTGGGAATTTGCCTAGGCTCTCTCAATTTTTTTTTTTTTTTTTAATTTTATTTTTTTTTTAACTTTAGTGCGTGTCTTCCCATGCCCAGTGTAACAGGAACAAAATTACCTGCTGGAATGTACTGCACGTGTCCCCAGGGCTGCCAACAGCTGTACAGTAACGTAGAGTAGTGCATGGTTGGAAGTAATGGTCACGGGGGGAATTTTGTAATGGAAAGAGCTGTAACTTTATACAATCTTTCTGAGTTCAAACTAAGAACAAGGGGCATATACCTCACCTGAAGGGCCCCCAGAAGAGGGGGATTTTTAACAAAACTTTTGTAAATACGAGCTTCCCAGGCCTTCGAACCGTTGGAATTGTTACTACATAGGCTGTTATGAAAATTTATATAATGACATTATTGAAATGATTGCCTGAGAAATTCCAAGGATCCTGTGAATCTCCTTGAAATTTCCACAATTATTTAAAAAAAAATTTCAGGACTTCAGGCTAAATTCACTTGAGATGTCACGAGTGTTCTTTGCAGAGGATAGTGTTTCTGGGGTAGGTAGGAAGTTAAAAGTTACTTGTCAGAAAAGACAGTGCAAGTTCGCTGCTGCTGCAGCAGGTCACACAAGAGGCAGGGGCACACCTCTGTGGGAGCTGTGGCTGAGCAGTAAAAAATTGTGCTGAAATGAAAGGAAAAGGCAACGTGCAACTGGAGCTGAGGGCATAACCTGTACCTACATCCCACTGGTTTATAGGCAGGATGCAGAGAAGGGTGTGGAATCAAAACCATACCTTAGGAACACCCTGTAAAGCTCGTGAGTTTATGCAGAAATTACTATAGGACATAAAACTCCTTCACAATAACCTTTGTTCTGCTAAAATTCAAACTCTTAATTCTGTACTAAAATTACATTTAGGTGATGCGATGCAGCATTTATAATTTCTGTTAATGTGATGTATTAACTACTTTGGACTCAGTATAAAATCGTGTACATCCGTTTCTTTACTGGCAAGAGGAACAATCTTCAACTTGTGTACACCTTGGACCAGGCTGAAATGTTAACTGAATGACCAGTTGTATATTATTGTAATGGGTTATTTAATGTAAACTCATTTTCAATGTGATCTTGGTTGTTACTATGAACTGCCTGAATGTTGTATATCCTAATTGAGTTATGTTGTATGAATTATTTATTTGTAATTGGATATCATGTTTCAAAAATAAAATTAATTTCACAAATTGGGACCCATATGTCCAGTTTTTTCAGTGGCACTTCGTTTTTATCAGAGTCTGGATAATTTGTGGTTGTAAATGAGTGGATTCAAATCATGTTAATTGGGTACATGGCTGTTGAGGAGGTGGCTGGGTGTCGTGGTTTTGGCTTAGATAGTCTGTTTTCTTCACAATGGCCAATATGGGGCTGCATTTTGGATTTGTGCTGAACGTGGAATTGATAATATAGGGATGTGTTTGTTATTGTCAGATATTTCAAATACATGTGATTGTTTCAGGCTGAATGCAGGAACAGGAGTTACCAGTTTAGCCTGGATTTTCATTGCAGAAAAGTTAATCCTGCTCGGTCGATTTTTATTTGCATATGATGTGCCATTTACCCTGTTAAAAAGCACCAGCTGTGGTAAATACCTGATGTAAAGCTCTCACCTTCTGACTTATTTTCCTATCCAGGTGTGCTGGGGCTTATATTTGGTGTGTAATTTTCCCTAGGTTTGTGGGTTGAAGGGTCAGATCCCAAAGTGATGTTAGATGCTTGCAGTTGGAATTAATTACAAACCCACAAAGCATTGCTAGTAACCATCCAGCCTGGAGGCATCTCAACAGATGCCTCTTTTTCTTTGTTGTTTTGGGTCTCTATTTACAGATTCCCCAAATGCCCAGGGTCGTAGTGCTGACAAAATGTCAAGCCTTCCCTGCTGCATAGCTGATCTTTATTTTATCCCTCTAATCAGCCACGAGAAGGCTCCGGCTTTTTCCTGATTAATTTTTTTTTTTGTCTGTGGGTTTTTTTTTTGACTTTCAAAGTTCTGTGGTTCTTTTAAGGCTGAAAACTTCTTGTTTCAAATGATTTAGGGAATTATGACACACTTTAATTGATTTTTTTTTTCTTTTTTCCTTAAGCATCTATAGCTGCTAAAATGCTATTAGGGGTGTCTAATAAAATAAAGAGAAGCAAACAAGTTCAGAACTACTAGAGTAAGTAATTTATTGTAGCAACTGATTTCAGAAAGGATAAACATAATAATTTTTCAGAAAATGTTAAGGAAGTCATTAGAGAGGCATAGGTTCCAAAATAGATACAATAAAAATAAAAAACGTTGTAGACCTGAGTTGCTATTCTTGTCTATACCAAAAAAATCTAGGGGAGACAGCAGGGAAAGGGAGCACCCAAGCAGCTGAAAAAGTGAGTAATTCTCTTTTTTTAAGAGTTTTAATACTTGGGAATAATACTTTTTAAAATGTGGTGTTATTTCTGGGTATGTACAGTTTCTATCTTGGCAATGAAAGTTAAAGAGAGCCCCAAGTCTGTGTTGTATGCACAGAGCAGTACCTGTCCTTACCTGCTGTCCCAAAGGAAATGTTGGGAATGTTGCTGAGCTGGGGCTGTGACCTGGCGGGGCCCTCAGCCTGCCCTGGGGTGAACAGTGTGGAAAACTAACTCTTGGCTTTCCCTAGAGATGATTCTTACAAAGTGGATTTGTGCACCCTTGGCAACTGATGGCGGGTGTGCCTTTTCTTTGTGCTGTGGAGCCAGCGGAGAAATATTTCTATTTTGGGATGAAAGGGCTGGATAGTGTTTACTCTCCTTCTGAGATGTCAGTGAAAATGGGGAAATTAAGGAATGCTCCCAGGAAGGGGTGGCTTTAGCATGTGGGCAACTCAGCTGAACTTCAGGGCCAGAGCTGGTGCCAGTGCCCTGTGTCTGCCCGTACCTGTCCGGCAGAGATCCAGCTGCTGTGGCTGGAGGGAAGGTAGGTGCAGGTGGCTAAAAGTCTCAGAGAACATGAATATTTTCTCTACTGAAGCTGCCAGGTATTAAAATGGACACACCTGTAGCTTTCAGTAAGTAATATCTGTAAGATCGGAATCCCAAATTTAATTACGTATTGGTTTAAACCAATTTTTTTTGTCAGCATTTCATTCCTGCTTTACATGTAAACCACTGCTTGGCTTTGGCTGCCCACCCACCCAACGTACAGGCCTTGCAGCCCTCGCTCACAGCTGGGCACTGGGCCACTTCCATCTGTGTGTGGTCCTGGACAGCATCCCTGAGCTGCTGCCTGGTGTCCAGGACAAGACAGCTGGTAGAAAAGCAAACACTGTTTCCCTCTTGAGGTGGGTGAGTTATGTTTGCAGGGACAGTTCTTCCGTGCAAGAAATGCCAAGAAGATGTTTTGTATCAGACCTAAGGGGGTATGCAGCACTGCCCAGTGCAACAGCAGGAAAAAACCCACGTGCCACATTTGAATCCCTAGTCCCTGAATATCCATGTATCCCAGTGTGCTCTTTCCCACTTTACCACAAGCACGTGTTTGGTTTTTTTTATTCTGAAGCTGTAATGCTTTCCATTGGTGGCAGGGTTGATTATGGTAGTTTGTTTT